CCCCACTGGTGCTATATAAACACATAATACGTTTTATTCAAAAAACAAATATTTATTTGTCTACATAATATGTTTTCAGATTTCAATAATAAGCAAAGATAAAAATAAAGAAAAGCCAATGAAGGCAACCATCCATAGTCATATGCAGCAACCAAAAATAGCCAAAGAGCAACAAATGATAAATATATGTGACAACCCACTAACCATGAGTAGTAAATGATCACTCTTTGCCCTAGTTCATATTTACAAGGTAAAGTACAACTCAGTTCAACCAACTAAATGGTAGAACATATACTTACAAGTGCTGGAAACTTCAAGTAGATATTAATTGCAAAAGTTTCTAAGTATTGGCGAACAGCAGGTAAGTTGTTTCTCTGCAAAGGCATACAACAAAGAAATCAATAGGGTTATTCACCCACCAATTCCAAAAAGAATGGACACCTGTGCTGAACATGAAGATGATGCAAAATTAGCTCATAAATTCTCCAAAATCCACTATCCAATGATGAAAATAAGCAATACATAGAAATAAAAAAAACAAAAAAAAAAAAGCAATGGAACAATTCTATGATCTCTTGACCAAGAAATAGCACCAAGAAATCTAAAATTTCTCATTTGAGGATTTGTATGTGTAAAGGGTTAGAGAAGAAAAATATTTAATAACTCGTATCTCTTTATTGAAATAAAAGTTGAAATATACATACATGTAAGCAGATTCATATATGATAACCAACATAAATTATTTTAATTATTTTCTTTCTAATTACGCTTACATATTTGAAAAGATAATCATATTATTATGTATAGAGAATATTTTACAATATTGTAACACTCCCTCTCAAACTGGAGCATAAATATTAATCATGTTCAAGTTGTTCCGAAAATACTAAATCCGTGCTCCATTCAGAGATTTTTTTAATATATCGTCAAATTGTTCTCCTGTCTTCACATAACTAGTAAATATAAAATTTTCCCAAATCTTCTCTCGAATGAAATGACAATCAATCTCAATATGTTTGGTTCTCTCATAATACACAAGATTTAAGACAATATGAAGGGCAATCTAATTATCGTACCAGAGTTTTACAAGAGATATAGGCTTGAAACCCACTTCATCTAATAAATGATGTATTCATAAAATTTCGCATGTGGACTGGATCATAATTCTATATTCGGACTCTGCACTTGAGTGAGATACAATTGTTTACTTCTTACTTTTCCATGATATGAGATTCCCACCAACAAAATCACAATAAACCGTAGTAGATATCCCATTAATTTTAGATCCAGCCCAATCAACATATGTAAAACATTCAATGTGAGTATGCTCATGATTTCTAAACACTATGTCGAGTCCTAAGGCACCTTCTACAAAATCTATGCCAAAGTCTCCAAATGTTTGATTGTAGATGCCGACATAAACTGACTAGCAACACTGACAGGGTATGCAATATCTGAACGAGTCACATTAAGATAATTCAATTTCTCAACTAGTCGTCTGTATTTCTCTAAATCATCAAGGAGATCACAATTATCTTTTGTAAGATGTACATTTGGTACCATTTGGTGTATTGCATGGCTTAACTCCCAA